GAAACTCGGTTTCTTGGTAGCTCTGCCACTCCGTGTACTTTCCTATCGAAAGAGTCAATTGTGTCCTGTGCCCATCTTCATGTTAGTCAGCCGCTGCCCCTCCTCCCTGGTTGTGACGAAACCACCTCAGTGATTTCAGAAATAAGTAATGTTTAATAGGTGACCATCATGTCCTTCTTAGGGCAGTTCATCACCATTGGGCAGGTCTGGCACTCAGCTCTCTCCTGTGGCTTCCAGTAGCTGTCAGCATGACATAAATTTGGACCTTGTGAATTCCATAATGAAGATCACTGTTTACCAGTCACTAGAATTAACAGAGCTTTGAATGTCTAGCATACACTACAATAAAGTGTTTAATGCAACTTCTTAGAACAGAAGGCATTAATTAAAGTAACAAGTGCCTGGGACTGAAAGAGTTAAGTACAAGATAAAGAACGCTCCTCCATGGCTTTAGGAGTGCTGAATATACGGTGCTTTTCCCATATTTGTACAGAACAATCAATACTCAATAATGTGATGTGGTCAATATCATGCCCACTGCCTTTACTTCCCAGAGCAATATTTTTGGAGGTAGCCATTTTAGATTCTGTCAATATGAGATTGAGAGACTAAATTAAATGTTTTCTCTATCTTTGATAGGGATTCAAACACAGGACCATTAGGCTAGCAGATAAGCATGCTAGTTCCTGTGCTACAACAGTTCCCTATATATTTTCCTGTATACTAACAGGCAGACAGATTGGCTGGATCTGCACCACTGGGTGGTCAATTGATACATGACAAGGCAGATGTGGCCAAACCCCTCTGAGAACAAGCAAAGGGACAGTAGAAAAACAAGACTATTATGGCTTGGAGAGGATAAGGCACATGGGTGTAACCAGAGGGTCTGGCTGGCTAACTACACTCAGAGGAAAGGCAAGACGGATATATAACCAGACTGTGACCAGTACCATCATTATTGGAACTCTGAGCTGGCTGCTTAAGATGAGAACGGATCACACATGGGAATGCCCCAAGTGCTGTGATGTCAATTCTTGACTCAACACTTTCCTATGTAATTAAGGGAGATCATCACCATGTAGCAGCTCCTTTGGAGAGTGCTGCTCTCATCATGAATTCACTAAACATAAAAGAGCCATAAAAGTCTTGAAAAAAAAAACATGCCAAGGCCATGGATTATCAAACCTGTCTTGAAAGACAAGCACAAAACCCCTAAGGTGTTAGTTTACATGTACAACAATGAGAAAAGCAACACAATGATTAAGAAAGTATTAGTTCTTTACTTTCAATCAACACTTACATCAACTACAACTCATATATATTGCACAAAAACATAGTTTGCACATGATGTTACAAACAAACAAACAAAAAAGATATCTGACCAAGTAAGTATATAATAAGGCAGGAAGGCAAACTCAGTCTCTAAAAAAGTGTGATCTGTCAGCTAAATCTAAAGGCACAAACATTGCAGCTATGCAGTATTTATGTATAATTTGACACAGCACAACCTCCTTGCCGGCTGAAAAACTTCTACCCCCCACCCCACTCACACCTATACACAAAAGTTGTGCATCCTTTACAGGGCGTTGTAGAACCAACCCCAGCATTTTATGGATGTTGTTTCTCTAGACAAATTTTAAGTTCAGTAGTTTGCCACTACTTGCAGAACGGTCAGCTCTCTGTACCAATGTTGAAACCAATGCAAGACATTCTGCTGCTAAATTGCCCACAGCTGGGATCAAACCTGGCATCCCAACATTACAGCCTGTTCCTGACACCTAAGCCACAGATGCCTACATCAAATAAACAAACCGTCTTCTTTTTCTTTGAGTTCACCAGCTGTAAACTCTGGTGAAAAGTATGTGTTGTTTGTCCTCTTCTGGACACTGGTCTTGTTCCAGGACTTGCGTGTTGCATGCACATCTGTTCTACAGAGCTGGCTTATATGTGTGCAGTTCCTTGCCCCTCTGGCAGATACACTCCACTTTTTGATGAAATGTCATGTCTGTCTATGCTGGCCAGGCTGCCATTTTGGGAACCTGTTTCTGGGATGACTGCAGAGAAGTACTGATAGATCTTGATCAGTATGAGCCTGATGCACCCCCACAAGTAGTTTAGAACCTCTATATCCCATAGTTCAGAACCTGTATCCCATAGTTTAGAATCTCTGTATCCCATAGTTTAGAATCCCTGTATCCTATAGTTCAGAACCTCTGTATCCCATAGTTCAGAATCTCTGTATCCCATAGTTCAGAATCTCTGTATCCCATAGTTCAGAACCTCTGTATCCCATAGTTTAGAATCTCTGTATCCCATAGTTTAGAACCCCTGTATCCTATAGTTCAGAACCTCTGTATCCCATAGTTCAGAACCTCTGTATCCCACAGTTTAGAATTTCTGTATCCTATAGTTTAGAACCTCTGTATCCTACAGTTCAGAACCTCTGTATCCTATAGTTCAGAACCTCTGTATTCCATAGTTCAGAACCTCTGTATCCTATAGTTCAGAACCTCTGTATCCCATAGTTCAGAACCACTGTATCCCATAGTTCAGAACCCCTGTATCCTATAGTTTAGAACCCCTGAATCCTATATTTCAGAACCTCTGTATCCCATAGTTCAGAACCTCTGTATCCCATAGTTTAGAACCTCTGTATCCCAGTTTAGAACCTCTGTATGCCATAGTTCAGAATCTCTGTATCCCATAGTTTAGAACCTCTGTATCCTATAGTTTAGAACCTCTGTATCCCATAGTTCAGAACCTTTGTATCCCATAGTTTAGAACCTCTGTATCATATAGTTCAGAACCTTTGTATCCCATAGTTTAGAACCTCTGTATCCCATAGTTCAGAACCTCTGTATCCTATAGTTTAGAACCTCTGTATCCTATAGTTCAGAACCTCTGTATCCCATAGTTCAGAACATCTGTATCCTATAGTTTAGAACCTCTGTATCCTATAGTTCAGAACCTCTGTATCCCATAGTTCAGAACCTTTGTATCCCATAGTTCCCTACACAAGTGTTTTTGTGTTGGATCCATATTTCACAAATAAAAAAAGTGAAATGGACATTAGAACATTGTGGCTAATAACATATACATATAGCATTAATGAGGAAGACATTAACTCTTCAATCCCCGATGGCCGTTACTATAACTCATTTCGTCTGAAGCAGTTGTCACTTTACACCAGTGTCAGAAATAAACGATGTAAATGCCAGGCACGGTGCATAGAACAATCTTTCAATGGCACAATAAGATGAGTGGAGTTGATTCGATTCAAGAACCGACATCACAGCATTCGGGGCATTCCCATAAGCGCTCCATCCCCATCTTCAGCAGCCAGCAAAGATTTCCGATACTGATGGTGCCAGTAGCATTCTGATTAAATGTCTGTCTTGCCTTTCCTCTGAGCCTCAAGCATCTGCCAGAATCTCTTGTCACTCCCCCCTGCATCAATCTCGCCAGACTGTGGTGATCCATCTGCTCCTCCAAACTGTACATGTTCTCACACAAGGCACTAACCACGTCTGCCCTATCATGCATCAATATTCCACCAAACTGTGCAGAGCGGCACACTTAGTGATATGAGGGACTATGTATGATCTTTTTTTAATTTTTTTAAATTTTAAGTCTTGTTCTGGAATATGAGTTTTGCATGCACATCCATTTTACAGATCTGGCTTATCTGTATGCAAACTGTTAGTTCCTTGCCTCTCAGACAGATGCACTCTGACTTTGACGGAAACTTTGTTAGTCGACTCGTACAACATGCTTGTTAGAGGCAATGGGTCTATTCTTGTTTTCATACAAAAAGTCCCCGGAACCCACAGGGGAGGATACTGTTTTTCAAAACTGGTCTTGGCTCCCAGGCTAACCCAAGGTCCTGGGACATCACCCACATAGTGCCAATTGGTCTATAAAAATAAGTCTAGCATAAAATGTCTGATGTGGTACTGGTGTGAAAAAGCATCCTTTGCTTTATTTTTTGTGCATGTTGTTCTGCTTCCCCATTTCGTTACGCTTTCTAGTCACAGTTCACTGGATTAATTTCTTGGTATTAGTTTGACTGCAGTCACTCCTATTTTGTACTTACTTCATAATAAGCATTAACTGATACTGGATGAATAAAAAGAGTAATGAAGATGTCTTGAAAGAAAAGTGACTCACAAAGAGTACTGACTGCCCACATCAGAAGGAGACAATCTACATTCTCTGGTCATGTCAAGAGAAGGAGAAAACTGGAGTACATCGTGATGGTGGGAAAGCTGGAGGGGAAAAAAGGCAGAAGAAGACAGAGAGTCTGACATCATGGAAGATCATCTGAGTCTGAAATTATTGAAAGTACATGAGACAAAAGCCTAAGGACAGACATGATTACCAATGACACATGGCATGGACTGTAAGAAGAACTGATACAATGGATCTATCTATGAAAACAGCATATGAATGTGGTCAAAGAAGAAAACACCTATTCAGAATGTGAACTCTTTCTGTCCCAAGAAAAAGACTGTCTGTGATAAGTAATGGTCCATGTGTATGCCAATCTTGTGTACGTTACTCTTAATCTGTGAGTACTTAATAAAAAAAAATATGGCTACATATTTGACAAAAAAGTACAGTAAATGATGTCCAATCTGATAATAATACACATTTTTATTATTGTCACTGCACTGCTTTGGGAGCAAACATCGGCACACCAGATGTATCAGGAGTCTTGTCAATCAGACTTCAACCATACAATGCTGATGTATAGGTGAGGGGGGGGGGGGGGGGGTGTTGGAGTTGAGCTGAACACTTATGAACCTGTCTGCAGTGCCGTGAAGATATTCTAACTTATAACTCCAGCTTTAAAGTTTTCTGGAGCTGAAAGAATGACAGTGCAAAGATGTAAAAAGATAGTCTTCATTTCTTTCTTATTGTCCAAAGTATCACCTTATAATATCCATTTCTTTCTAGTTAATATATCATTTCCTGCTCTGAAACTGATGAGTATCAAAATATCAGTCTATCTGAAACACAATTTTGCCACTTCTGTACCCATCAGTGGCTCTTTCAATTGCAGCTTTATAGTTATCCAGAGTGAAGAATTCACATTGAGGAGAAACAAATTTACTAGCCTTGATAAGCCGGCAAATATCTGAAAGCATTTCAAATCGACACAAATCATGCTTATGCTTTCTGTTCCAACTAGTATTCCAGTACCCAAACAGCTTAATTTCCTTGAAGATAAGTGCTCCTGTTGGAACTGTCACTGGCCGTTTCGACATACCTCCGTAAGTTACCATAACACCACCTTGATCTAGGTGACGAAACAATTCCGTTGCAGAACTGCCTCCAACACAATTAAGTGCTAACTTAGGTCTAGCTGGCAAAGACTTCAGGAGGTCTTTCATTTGTGGAGTTCGCAAAAATTCTTCAGTAACAACAAAATTCGGCACCAAATTCTGCAATGACTGTTTTAGTGAGTCAAGGTCTGGTCTTTCCCTCACCACATTCACCGTTGTTATGTTCCACTCTTTTGCAAGTTGAATGACACTGATGCCGACCCCGCTGTTGGAACCGTTCTGTATAATGACATCGCCAGCTTGTAGATTAACGTAGTCTTTTAGCATTCTATAAGCACTACACGGATTTACAGAAAGCGTAGCTGCAGATACTACGGAAATATCATTTGGTATCTTGATTACACTTTCATCACTGGTCACCTTGTATGTCTGCCATGTGCCCCAAGCCGTATCTTCGGGAATAACCCAATCCCCGGAATTTAAACCTTTAACATCCGAGCCAACTTCAACGATTCTGCCAACGCCTTCATTGCCCATGACCGATGGCAAAGACGGCTGTACGAAATACGTCCCTTCAATCATGTTAATGTCTGAAGGGTTTATGGGGGCCATCATCATCTTGACAAGCACCTGCTTTGGTTTCAGAGGCGAAAGCTCAACATGTTGACTTCTCAGAACTAATCGAGGATCACCAAACTTATCAATAAAGAGCTGGTGAGATGAAATGTTCCGCACAATGACATAACTTTGATTTATCAAAGACTTTCCAAGGATAACCTTTTGCATCATAAAACTTCTTACGGAGGCCGCCATGATTGTTGATTGTTATTATCCTGACAGGAAGCTTGACAGCTGGGTTGCCAGATAAAAATAATTTTATTTTGTGCCAAACCATTACCCAAAATATGCCAGAAAATTGCCAAATTAAGTGTAACATTGTACCCACTTCACATCAAAAGCTCTAGATTGAATTCCTCACTGTCAACCTCACCGGAACCAGTGGAAGATACAACGTAAACTTTTTTTAATGGAAAATCTTTAAACATTTTCTCAGATGGGATGAAGTCTTTGCAACTCCTCTATAATCATGGCATTTTTTTTTTCCGAAAATCATCAATAAAGTAATCCTTATTAAGTGCAGGCGATATAATATTTTTTATTAGGCATGAACATTTAGTTATATGCAACTTTATGTGTTCTAATGTACTCCCCCGACTATGCGCTCTTGTTATTTCACTTAGATGATCATTTGTGCGTATTGCACAATGGCAGGTCATGCTTACAGCAAGTTGTAACTCTGCTGCCTTTAACTTTATCATTACTTTGCCTAGGAGTCATTGTTGTAATAAGCTGTGACTGGCTTTTTGACGAAGTTTTCATCCTGTGTTATTCGGATTTTTCGTGATTTGAAATGCTACTAATTCTTGGTGCAACAGTGCACTGACACAATTTACAATATGCTGCCTCTGATTCGTCTGGAGATCTTTTGAGCCGTGGGTATGTTTTCTTCCAGTTACTATTATACTTGTAATGTCATAAGATGCTTTCCATTTGGGGAGGGGGGTGACGTGGCCATTGGTGAAAGTAATACAATCTATCACAGATAGAACTAGGTTTATATCCTCTCTATTTTATGTCCTCGAGTAGTTTCTGAACAGTCTGAATCACTTGATATCAGTGGTGGGTTTTGGTTTTATATCCCGCATTTATTCTAGTATATCAACATAAATTACAGAGGGCCTTGGTTTATCGAAGTCATGATCCGTTTAGGAGGACAACAAATACAATTAGAAATGGCGCGAATCTCAATTAGTCCGTACCAGGACATCACAACAAAGTCAAACTGAAATAAAGATGTTAACTGTAGGTCTAAATTGCATTTAGTAAATCTTCGTGTTTCTAACGGAGGAAACATGCAGAATATATGAGCACATCTTGATAAGAAAAGCCAGGAAAAGCCAAATATGCCAGAATATGCCAGTTCAATTTCAAATATGCCAAATTTGTGGAATCTTGCATAAAAATGCCAATATAGCAACCCTGTTTGACAGCATTCGCTTAAAATCAGGAGTTTAAATTTAAACATCAGGGACGAGTCAATGTTTCAAGTAAACGACACGTCAACGTAGAGAATATCGGGTTTATTGCATCGTGTTGCCTCACATAGTACAATCTCTCCCCACAGAACGGTTAGCGGTCTCCCGATAAAACTTTACACAAAGTACGAACTCTGTAGGTCCGGGTGCGTTCGTGAAACGAACCCACGACCATAATAGCTCTAAGCTAACGACCTGACCACTTCGCAGCGAAATCCACATCGGTCTGTTCACTCTGATTGATCGATACTTTAAGCGAACATTGTTTGGTCTTTTTAATGTCCTACCCCCCCCCCCATCTCTCTCTCTCTCTCTCCTCTCTCTCTCTCTCTCTCTCTCTCTCTCTCTCTCTCTCTCTCTCTCACTCTCTCTCTCTCTCTCTCTCAACTTTACTTAGATTCGTCCACTTCTTTTTCTTTCTTCTAAGCGTTTACTGGCTGTAAACACAAAATTTATTTGTTAACTTCTGGACGTATTGTTCCGAAACTTGAGTTTTGCATGTTCGTTCGTTTTACAGATATCGCCTACTTGTACACATACTGTTGATTCGTCACCTTTTAGGCAGATGCCTTCGACTTTGAAGGAAAACCTATAATTAGTCGTCTTACGGCATGCTTGTATAAGGCAGTGGATTTAACCCCCCCCCCCCCAAGCCACTCCACTCCACTCCACCCCCCCACCCCCAAGAACCCTTTGAACCCACACGGAGAGTTTTACATCCCAGTTTAGTTTCTTCAAATGAATTATTTGGAACGGACATCCACGATCACGTCACTCCATTCTTCTGGGTTATTTGATATTTTGACGAAGTCGTTGTTACTAATAATACTATTTTGATTGAGGAGGTATTGAAGTTTCACAGTAATATCTTCCTTCGTCTACCTCTCTTTCCAGTACACTCCTCTTAAAGCTAATATTTTTATTATACATCTTCTTTTAATTTGTACAGAAGAAGTGATCTTTTCCAACATGTTTTGTTGAGTGATCATGTAACACATGACTATTCAACTTACGGCTCGCGGGACGGATCTGACCAACATAGGCCGATCATTAACAATTGTACTGTGTTGATGATCTTTCCATGCTGAGTCTCTGGCCTCTCGTCAGTTACAATCATCATTTTCAACAATGTGGCCGCTGAGTTAACTTAATTGAATAGTCCTGATATAATTTTTACAGCTTTAAAAAATTCAGCGTTTTGTTTTTCAATAGGTGAGAAGCATTTACAGATTATCTTGTAAAGACATGCGAGTGTACACGTACGTAACTAAGCATGCTAATTACTGTGGTTTTTCTTGGCGACTATTAGCATTATAAGACGTTTACAATGAAAGCTTTAGTAAAACTAGAGTTTCACCTTCTTCTGCCTTTATCTCCCCCCCCCCCCCCCCCCAACCAGTGGGGCACAAGGCGTCAACCAACTCAAGCAACAACAAAATATTAAAGGTGGATGGCAGGGGCTGTGCCCCAAGGAGAGGTTGCTGCGTCCTCGCTTTTAATGTGTGTGTGTTAAACATCGGTCACGTTATCGTTTTATAAAATAGCAAGATAGCCTCCGCGAAGAACAGTTGACAAGACTTGCAAATGTACAATACGACAGAGTCGCCTATGATACCACCCGGCAGACGACCATAGAAAACAGACTGTCGGACAGCTAGTTGAATTAGTGTCTAGTTGGTTAGACAGGCAGACTGCCTTTAAAGAGGACTATGCCTTTTAGTGCTTTCACCGTCTTGGTACACAGTTAAATCGCTCGATGTCTGTCTCGTTTGGGACACATTAAGGTGTCTCGAGGATAGTTATTGGCTTACTAGGAAACTTTAGTGAACACTTTACAAAAACCAGTGACCAGCTAGAGAAGTACACTGAGCGACCTTACCAAGGAATTTCAGTGAACCTGTAATAAAGACAAGTGACCAAGTTACGATGTACATTATGCGACATGGTGTCTCTCGGCCCATAACCCCATACCCCCTCCCCTTTTCCATCTAACTAGACGACACACGGCATGCCCGCTCACTGAACACTCGCACCTAACATTGTGACATGACACCAAATCCCTTTGACATAACTTTTCAATTTTTACTCTATATAAAATCATGGTACCATAGGCAATGACCCTAAAATGTCTCACGTAACTATTTGGCATTACAACTTGAGCCCGTTACTGAGCCTTTGGCACTGAAAACCAACCTCATTTATCCGAATTTTTCATTTTCCCTCTAAATAAGTCATAGCACCATATGCAGCGAACTCTTCAGTGACGCCTAAATCTTCTCATGTAAGTAGCTGAAAGGACAACTTGAATTTTTCATGTTGACTTTGTATAAAGTCATAGCACCAACTGACCCTGCAGAGAAACGGTTGCCCCCACACGTTATCTTGGAACCTGATGCTGCAATAATGATTTTGTTTGACCGCTGACTACCATGAGCCCCAGCTGACACTCGCGTCTATAATCACTTTTATATATTTTACCATTTAACATACATAGCTTCTATCCCCCACCACCAAGCCAATTAATATCCCTCTCTTTGTTTATTCTACTATATCACTTTTATAAGGCAAGTCGCATATCCCTCTTTTTTATTAGTCACATATGTTTCTACCATATCTTCTTCTTTTTCTTTAACAGATTGTGACCTTGAGGTTTACTGCCGCAGAATCACCTGCCTCCACTCATCTCTCTGGCTGGCCTCATCTTTCCAGTTGGTGACACCAAGTGTTTGCAGGGCTGTCTGGACATTATCTCTCCATCGTCTTCTTGGTCTGCCTAGTGGTCTCTGTCCATTCAGCTCCTTCGTATATACAGTTTTTACAACTCTGTTATCGGAAATTATCAATGCTTCAGCCATTTTAGTCTATTCACTCTCATGATGCCAGTGATCAATGGGGATTTAAACAGGTTATGAATTTCGTTGTTGCTTCTTACTTTCCATTCCTCTTATGGGTCCAAAGATTCGTCAAAAGACTCTGTTTTCTAAAATTTTTAATAATGTTTTTTCTCTTTTAGTTGTGCTCCAAGTTTCAGAGCCATAAAAAACGACTGGTCGTATCAACCTTTTATATAATTTGAACTTGGCAACAGATGTTAAAAGGTATTGATACTAACATATAACATATATAATTTCTATCATCTCCGCCAGCCTCATCAATACCCCTAGTTTACTTAAGTCTAATATTTAACTTTTGGGTACCAGCCCACTCGCCACCCTTGAAATCAATCGGGTCGTCTGCTCCGCCCGCCCACTCAGGGACATATACCAATTTATTGTTTTCCTAATTTGGGGAAGGGAATAGCGCGCCTCTACACACCACACACACACACAGACACACACACCTACGCGCACACACACATACACACTCTCACACACACTCGCACACATACACAGGCACACACACATACACATTTTCACGCACACAATTTGGTCTTGACAATGTTACAGCAGAAAAAGTTGGGGGGGGGGTGGTGGTGGTGAGTAGGGGTAATTATTTTCTTCGATGTGGTGGCCCATGATACATGTTGATCATAAATAGCAAGTTTAAGATAAGACAGAAAGGTATAGAGTCGATGGGATCGATCTCATGACACCAAGTGTTATCCCAAAAATGGTCTAGTCTCTTTCCTCAGAACGGCAGCCTACCGAAAGCGTCGCACAAAGTAAACTCAGCGGCTTCAGCGATCGATCCCAAGAGTTCTCCGTTGCAGGTGAGCGG